AAGCTCTGATATTATAGGTGTACTCTTGTCAATTTGTCAAGCACAAGAACTCGATGAAAAAATAATTCAGACAAGTGAGCCTTCACTCAAAAAAAGGTAACAAAATACAAATAAATAAATATGTATATTGAAAGAGAAACTAGAATGGCTATTGCCAAAAGACAAAAAAACTAGAGACCCTTGAAACTAGACTGGAAGCAAGAAAGGAGTTGACAAGAGTGAAGAAGGCTTCACTCTTGTCTCTATATATACTATCTAACTAGGGGCTACGTGGCAACGTTTAATAGGACCTCCAATATGTGTTGACTTTGTAGGACACATGCCTTGACTTACAAGGCAAGTTTTTCTACGTGTGGGCCACATAGTTAGCTTGATCTTCAAGCTAACAACATGTGTGGCACATGGCCAACTTATTGACCACGTTTTTAATCCAAAAAGACAATTAAAAACACCTTTGAAGTTAAAGCAGCGTCTATGAAGCTTCTAAGAAGCTTTCATATTAAATACTATAGAATTAACTTACTTTTACCTACTTTTATTTACTTCCACCTATTTATATATGTAATTACTAGCTTACATGAGTATGTCTATGATAGGAACATCTACGAGAAGTATTGGACCAATCATAAGATAGTTGCTTCTATTGCAAGCAATCAAAATGTGAACTTTAGAAGTTAGAAGTCACCTTTTTGAGTCATGTGGTGTCCTCTAAAGGCATGCGTATGGAGCAAGATAAGGTGAAAGTGATGGAAGATTAGCCACCCTCATAGATGTTTTTGAAGTTTGTTCATTATTAGGCCTTGTTGGATATTATCATTATTTTGTTTGACAATTTGCATACATTATTGCTACATTGATAAATCTATTGAAGATAGATGCTCTATTTGAAAGAGAAATGGAGCAACAAAGTGCATTTAATAGGTCGAAGGAGGCATTCATTACTACTCCAATATTACAATCATATGATTCCAACATTTCTTATATGCTTGATATTGATGCTTCCAATTTTGCTATTGGAGTGGTTTTTCAACAAGATTTTGATAGGGGCCTTCAACATGTGGTGTATAAATCATGCAAGCTTAGAAAGACAAAGAAGAATTACTTTGGATGTGATCAAGAGCAATTATCAATTATATATGCTACAAAGGTGTGGCAATACTATATGTTGCGGAAGCCAATGGTTGTTCAAACTGTCTATTGACCCTTGCTATACAATTTGCATCTAGAAAATATGAAAGGACAACATCATCGTTGTAAAGAACAATTGCAGCTTTTTGATATCCAACTTGATTATAAGTAAGGGCGATAACATACTATGCTAGACAACTTATCATGGAGACCAAACTTGAAAGACAATTTGAGAGAGAAGGTAGAAGTTGTTACCATTAGTAGTATCATTTCAAATCTAATCAAAGAGACAAAATAGAAAGAAGCTATGCATTGGGATACTTATTTCAAGATGGTTTGTAATTGCTTGAAGGTACAGAATATATAGTATTAAGATTAGAATCTTAGTAATAGCTTGCTTTATTTTAAGAAGCAAATTTATGTATCTGACAATGCTATACTTTGGATACGCATACTTCAAGAGGAACATGACATCCTTATATTTAGAAATTTAAGACAAGAAAAGATTTTAGAATGGATCTCAAGGATATAGTTTTGAACATGTTTGGATCGTAATGTTTAAGCTTTTGTACACTCTTACGAGTCATGTCAATGTAATAAAGCATGCAACACAAAGTCTTCTAAATTATTGCAACCGATTTTGCTATCTATGACATGTTAGGAGCAAGTGACTATAAATCTCATTACTTGTTTGTCGTAGATGCCTCATAATCATATCACGGTTGCTGTCTTTATGAATTAATTCTCTAAGTAACTTCACTTAGTTGCAATGCGCTCAGATATTGATGCCCTAATACTTGCTCGAGTCTTCTTTGATATTATCTTTTGTCACCATGGATTACTTTGTATCATTGTTTCAAATCAAGATCCATGCTTCACAAGAAGTTTTTGGCAAGTCTTATTGAAGCTATTAGGTACACAATTTGCCATGTCTACAACCTTCTATTCTCAAATAGATGGACAAATAGAATGTGCAAATTGGACCTTGGAAGATATGTTGTGGACATTTGAAGTGGTTCATCATAATTATTGGGATGAATACTTGATGTTCTTGGAGTTTGCTTATAATAATAGTATTCAAGCAAGTACTAGTCATTCACCATTTTTCTTTAACATTAGTCAACATCCGATTATGCCAATAATTCTCTATTGTTCCATCAACACCAATAACCTAACAATAGAGGAATTTATATAATGATTTACAATGGCCTTACAAGAAGCACAACACCGCCTCTTTATTGCACTAAATCAATAGAAGCAATATGCAGATAACCACCAGCAACACAAGACCTTTTGGGAGGATAATCAAGTGTTACTTTTCAACACCAACTTGCCACTAGCTACATCAACTCAAATAGATAAACTAGCACTTCAATAGCTTGGATCTTTCCATATTTTTGTTGTGATTTCTGATGTCGCATACTGCCTCAAGCTTCTACTATATAGTTGGGTCCATTCAATCTTCTATGTTTTGTAATTGGAGGAATTTCATACTGAGCCAAAGCGCTTTTTGAATCGACACCAACCACGACCACCACCACTAGTTGTAGTTGATGATCAACAAGAATATGAAGTGGATAACATTTTGGAATATCGCTACCTTTGTTGTGGTTGTAGACATCCATAACTTCAATACAAAGTTCTTTAGAAAGGTTATCCCATCTATAATGCAATGTGGGAACCTGCACAAAACCTCATTCATTGCTAAAAAAATAATTTGGAGGTACCATCTGGAGCAAAATGAGGACGTTTTGCATTAGTAGAGGAGGATTAACTATAATGGGATATAGATAAGATATTTGTATTATTAGTACATAGAAATAGATAGTTAGAATTATGTTTGAGAAGTTATGGAAGTTTCTAGAATTGAGGTTAGGTTAGTGGACTAGATAGGATCTACCATGGAACATTCTAGAAAGAATTTAGGGCAGTTGTTTAAGTAGGACCTACCATAGAACCTTCTAAAATTAGTTTAAGGTGGTTATCTAAGTGGAGTCCATCATCTAGGAACATTCTAGATCGTCGAGGGTAGTAGAACAAAGTATAAATAGGATTGGCCAGGGACTTGTTAATTTTATTGATTAGAGAAATTAGAGAAAATGTTGGACTAAAGAAAATCCTAGCCTATTTACACAATTAGACTCAACTCTTATACTATAGAAATGTCTTTGCTTCTTCCTATATACTGAGTTTCTTATACTTTGTGTCCTTATAACCATGAACTTGATTTTGGCATTCTGGCCATGATACAAACACTTCCATAGAATACCCACAACAAAGTGAGTAAAATCCAATAGGAGACACCTCTAAAGAGAACCTCGACTCTAAAACTTTCCTTGAATTAGTACTACAAGGACTTACTATTTCAAAGATAGAATTGAATGTGACACTATCACAATTTTCTTGCAATAGAACTAATACAATGTAAGATAAAATAGAGCTATACACTAATTTATACAAATGATGGAAGATCACCATTGCTAACCATATTGAAAGTGCAAGAAGCTAAAGCCAAGCAAAAAACAACTCAACAATGCAAACCCTAAATCAGTGCACAAAAGATGGTTTTATAACAAAATACTGAACAAGAGCTCAATTCAAGTACTTACCAACAACACATCATTGATTTTGATGTCCAACTTTGCAACTCTGCACAATGGTGCGCCATCACAAAGTGATAATGCAAGTGCAAATTGAGTGGAGATGTTGGTGATATCCAACTTGCATTGCTCTCTTCTGCTTTCCTCCAGTCCTCATCCAAGTCATCAGTCCACGTCGACACTGTTAGGATTAGGTTAAAAACCTTGAGTTACCTCAACTGTTACCTCGACGACTAAACTCAAACTTGTATATAACTCTTGTTTAAAATAAAAGTAAACTCGAGTTAGTATTAGCAGTTTTAACAGCGAAGATTTTGTTCACAAAGCTGTTCGTTTTAAGTAAATATGGTTGGCTTCTTTCAGCCTGAGGGTTCTCATATGTAGGTTTCTCCTGTCGGCAGTATTCTTTTTACCTTTCTTGTGGAAATTCAAGAAGGCGGCTAGTATATTTTAGTTCAGTTTCGTGAGTACACTCAACACCTGGTTTCAACATTCACCGCTTTGAAGAATTATTCAGGGCAATGATGGTCGTTTCTTGTTTTGCACTACCGATGAATCGTAGTGAAAACATGTTGCTTTTATGGAAGGTTATTCTCCTGAATGTTTGCACAACTTTGAACATAGACAGATTCTACTTCGGAGACAATATGATCCATGCAACCAAATCCTACAATGCTTCTCAATGTTTTCCGATAAGTGAGCGTTGAGAAATCGATCGGTCCTAAAAAATACTATTCCATAATTCTCAATTGTCAATACCTTGCTAAAATTTTATTACAGAATCTCACTTAAACAATCTTAATTACACAATAAGATGGGCAGATTGTGCCCCAACATTTGTCATCGATCCGCAACGTGATTGTGCAAATTGGTTTCAAGTCTCACGTTTCGACCACAATCCAAAGCATGTCATCGTAGTCACACAAACGTAATTACGGCAATACATAGCTTATGGTATATTACCTGTCGTGTCGGTGAAGGACTATGTTACTTATGTCGGAGGCGTTATTACATTCCAAGACATTGACAGATTACAACCTTTAAAAATATGACAAACAGTCTACAAAAGACAATTCTGAGTACACCAAAAAGAGCACCTGATCAGAGTTCCTACACAATATCGCTGCCTTGCTTCCTTTGTTGTAGTGGGTTATTTTCAGCCGTTGGCACTATCAACCGTGCTGTTTCAGAACGGTGATGGGTGTTCTGATCACGGTCAAAGGGAGCGGGCTGGGGCCGGACTCTGCCTACTTGAGCCCTGCAGCGTCCTCACCAGTGAAGTCTGGCTTTCAAGGAGAGAGTGAGAGGGGGGGGCGACGCATTACGCAACGGAATCATACGCCCATCCTACTGCAGCAGCATTGCTGCATTCATCACTCGCCATTTTGACCCCGCGTCCCACAATTTTGGTAACTATGTCTCTGTTTTCGCTGTCGATGCTCCACCCTTCATTCGGCGGAATTCATACTAGGTCATCTGTTGGGTGAGGGATTTTCAAGAGCTGTTTTGGAGGATTGCGATGAAGAAGTGATGAGAGAGAACTTGATTGTGTAGGAGTTGGGTTTTTCCCCTAGAGGTAGTGTAAGCTCGAGGTCTTCTAATTTTTCTGTTTTTCGGTACTATGGTTGTTTTGCTCTTATTCATGGTTTAAGGCATGGCGTCTGGATCCCGGTTCTGTCCGTTTTCGATAGTTCGTATATTTTCTTCCTCCTCAGCCGCCAGATCAAGTGTTGTATGGTTTCAGAAGCGTTGTTTCGTTTGCATCTTTTGCCTATCTTCTTTTCCTGGTTTTGTTTTTGTGAGAAGTTTGCCCATTTTATCCATTTTTGTTTCGTACCTTAACGCAGGTGCGTCGTTGCAGGAATGTCTCTCGAGTCGCCTGACGCTGTCGTCGTTTTTTATTAGGAAATTCTGCAAGGTCACCAGATATATTTAAGACGCCAGTTCGTTCTCTCTTCAACCAACCGCTTTTGAATTTGAGGGCGGTTGCATGCTGCTCGTTATCTTAGCTTCTTTCTTTTGGAGTTTCAGTGGGGTTTATCGCCGTAGTCGAAGAAGTGGAACCTGCTCGCCTTTTTGAATTAGGGAGAAAATTCAGAAGAGTGAAGAATTGTGCATAGTTTTTGAGGATTTGTTCTGCAATGGAGGATGTGATAGAGGAGGAAATGATGGCCCTAGAGGCCATTTTCTATGATAGCTACAGTAAGATTAATGACAACAGCTTCAGAATTAGGATTGATTCCGATGTTGAGGAGGATGCTCCCCCAGCATTTTTCCTTGAGTTCCAACTGCCGAAAGGTTACCCGGATGAAATCCCCAAGTTTGACCTTAGCAACATAAATAACAGTAAGTACCCGGAGGCTGTGAAAGCTGCAATTCTGGAAGGCCTTCACGAACAGGTGCGCAGTATATTCTGGTTGGGCCTTTCCTGACATGTGATCTCTAGATATCGGATATTTGCTCAGAAAGTTGTTTTGCTTATGTAGTATATCGCTCATTATTCGAGTCTGCAGCCATTCTAGTTATTGTAGTCCTTGTAATTCTAGTAATTGTAATGTTTTATAAGTTAATTTTGATTGTAGTCCTTACTATGTGTTGTCAGGCATTTGTGTGAGACGATGATTAATTTACTACATTTCCCTCTCACTGACACCAAAGATTCCAGCTATGATAACAATCGATTCATTTGAAATGTACTAGGCAGAGGAACAGAAAGGTGAGAGCATGTGCTACAACCTGGTGGATTGGTTAAAAGAGAAACTTCCTCATTTTTATCGACTCAAACCAGTCGTAACAACCCAGGTTATTTATTTTCGTTTGACTTCCTTGACTCAACTCATTCTCCTGGTTTGGGGACAATGTCATGTTAGCGAATCTTGAATAATTCATGAACACATTAATCAAAATGTGGGTCATATGGCTCATAAGCACTAGTGAAGTATTTGCAAGTTCAGATTAGCACTGTTGATTCTTATCCGCTGCATCCACTTAGAATTATCTTGTTCGCTAGGACTTCCTTTGTAAGAAACTGACTGGTTTCTGACTGTCGATACTGACTGTCGAACAAAGGTTTGATTCGCTGGAGTACAAGTTAGAGTTGTATTATGAAATGTTACCTCAACACTCACTAAGTGCACTTCTGTGACCTATTTGCAGGAATCGGATCATTCAGATAGCGAGCATCACCAAGCAGTTGGTGGTGGTAAGAAAGGTGCCCTTGGGAAAGACAAGATGACGAAAGCGCAGAAACGACGTCATTTTGACAAATATGGAGCAGGCGCTGAGAAACCTCGCGGCTGGGACTGGGTCCCTATCCTCTCTCATGTACGTGAAAGGCATTTTGCTGTTATTACTTCATTGTACGTCATGAGTTTGCTCGTGTATCAAATGTTTACACTTGTTCCTACACCAACAAAAATTACTTGGTCTTCTCATCAATTTGGCAGATCAAGGCATATATGTTTTTTGCAAATTTGAGTTAGTACTCCTTATGCTCAACGTAAAGTGATTAATGAGTGTTTGAATCTTATAGTCTCTAATGGTTGACGATGTCTACTTTAGACTGATTTCAGTTATTGACATTGAGTGGTGTATGGTGGATGTGCAGTTGGGTCAAGTTCCGCACATACCTTCAGCTTGACTGATTACGACACTTTACATTTAGAAGTTTCTATTAAGAACTTAAATGTCTCCACGCATTGGTCGGAGTTTTGTTGATGGTGTTGGAGGTGCAATTTAGTAGTAGCGTGATTCAGCCTGATTCATGAACGACCAACATTTGACCACATAAATGTTGTCTTAGTTTTCTGAATTGGAGTCTGAGGATTCTGTCAACTTACCACCAAAGTAAACTACGAACTTTGATCTGTATGAGTTAGGATCGTACACGATATTGTAGTTAAGAATGTTCTGGAGATCAGTGGAGGTTTTCGGAGAACATCTACACTATGAATCACAAGTTACCTACAACCTCTTGTGCAAATCCCACGTTTCTCTTCAGAACGTTTTAAACCAATATTAGACTCCTGGCATTGACCTGTACTCCCATCATGGATACATGTTTTAACAATTGAGTCTACTCAATGCATCTGCTTTATTCAGGAAATGATAATGTGACTAACTGATCCAGTAAGGTCTCTGATATCTCACCTAGAAAGTTATTCTGGTTCATACATTCAGAGTTGGGAGACAAGATACTGGTATATGAAGTATTTGCTTTTGGATAGCCTTGCCCTTGAAATATCAAATAATAGAAGAAGGCAAATGAAAATGGCATTGTAGTTGGAATACAAGTACGATTTGGGAAGAGTTACCTGAAGTCTTCTAAGAGTTTCAAGAGTTGCAATTAAGTAAAATGGGAAATTGAAACTTAGTTTAACACATCAAAGGTATGTTAATTACTTTAGTTGACTTTCAGATGAATTGTTGACCTTGGCAAATTTAATTACTATAATGGAAGTTGAAGATAAATTCTCCATGAATAATGTTATTATGTTTAATTGAGACAATAAAAAGAAGGATTATACAAAAGTATTAGTAAGATTAAATCAAATTACATTTGTAGAGTATTGTCAATTCTAATATATGCTTTGTTTTGATTTAGAATATTTAATATTAGAGAAATATAGTTCCTAAATTACCTTCTTGTGTGAAACAAGGTTCAACTAAACAAAGACCTCATTCATATATATATATATATATATATATATGTATCTTATTACATAATGAAATTCAATTGTATGACCACTTCGATGTTTGAAAAAAAGCCAAAATAAATATGATGAATAATATTGTTTATTTATATCTAAAAAAAACTAATAAGTTGTAACAAGTATTATTAATGTTGTGCACCTTGAAAGTGTAAGAAAGAAGTTGGAAAAAATAAACATTTTGAGCCTATTTAAAAGAAGCCATATGAGGCTCAATTGCAACTTCTTATATACAAAGCTATAGAAGAGAATATCATTACTTATTAAATATCAAACAAGAAACATATATAAGATATACTTCAACGAAATTTGTTAAAATAACATATGATAAGCTCACTCCACATAGTTGTGTACAACCAAAAATTCATTAAAAGAATGCATATGCAAACAAAAAATCATCCTTGATTAATTCAATCAAAAATAATAATAAAGACAATACTTAGTATCTTACTTATTTTGCCTAAATTCGAATAAAAAACAAACATAAATATGCATATGTATAACACATTGAAGCTATATGAAATAATTATTAAGATCTATAATTAATTTAGAACTTTATTGATTAAATTTGCTTTAACATGCTAAAATAAGATACTAAAAAAAATATTTTAGTTAAAATAATAAAAATATTTATAAATTTATTAATCGTAATTTAAAATAATACAAAATTTATTTAGAGCAATAAATTGTAATTAAAGTTTATTTATCATCTTAAAATTTATTTACATTGAATATCAACTTTTTTAAATTAATGAATAATTAATAACATACTATCAATTAGAGAAGTATATATATATATTGATTTTTTTTAATATTAAATATTTTAAAATACATAATATATTAGATTAATTATTTGTATATAGATGTATATACAAAATAAAAATAATTTATTTATATTATTAAATACAAGACTTTTAATATAATAAAGCTTATTCTAAGTAAAAATCAATAGAGAAAATTCGTGATGCTTTTATAGAGATAATTTTATGACAAAAATCTTCTTTAGTTTTAATTTTTTTAATAATAAATATTAATGTAATTTTTTTGTTTAATACAAAAAAATATATGACTATAAAACAAAGTTTAAAATATTATGAGGTTAGAACTAAGAAGTCATCATATAATATATAAATAATGCAAATCTAATTGAATAATATTAAAAAATATTAAAAAATAATTAGCCTTGATTTGGATAATTTTAATATATAAAAAAAAAACTAAAATTATTTGAAGAATTCTATTAGAAATTAAAAGAAATTAAAACATTTAATATAATTGTCTAGATTAATTAGAGATGGGATTTGAACAATCAAATTATTCAATTAAAAATAAGAGAACAAGATTTTTAGTAGAGTGACAAAACACTCTTGTAAGGAATTAAATACTTTCATGAATTGTTCAATTTGCTGTAGCTTGTACCAAGCTTTGGATGGCTGCCAAATTGCTACTTATGCTTAATACATAAATTAAATTAAGACTAGAAAGTAGATCAAATGCAATAGAATAGAGAATCATATAAAAAATGATCTTATTGATTTATATATTATATAGAATAATGTATATAAGAAACTCTAAAAAATCCAAAGTGCTGTCTATGAAATTTCTTTTGAAATATCTTAACTCATACATTAATCTTAAACTAAGTCTCTAAATTCTTTTCCAATTTTTCTCAAGTAAGTAGTCAACCTTTAATTTTGCTATCAAATTGGTGGTAGTTGCTTGGATAGTCTTAAAAATTGTCAAATTTTGATGTCCCTCTAAACTATTTTTATTATGTATAGTCATCAATTTTATTCCAACATGTTTTTTTAACTAAGCTTGTGGTATCTTTGCTACTATCTATACCTCTTCCATGGTTGGCAATCTATAATTGAGACATACCTATAAGAAGAGTGAAAAAATAGAAAAAAAAGATTGAGATCTTGCTTGCAATAAATGCTTGTACTAAGTATAAATTCAATAATCAATGATGATAATCAGTGGCCTTGTTTTTTTGTTACTATTGCGTGTACATGGGAGATAATTAAGTTTGAACATGCTACAAAATTATGAATTGATGTTGCAGTTTTTATTGATCTATGGTACCATAGTAAAGCATTTGACTAAAGATTTGATTGTAGCTTATTTATTTTTGATAGTACAAAAAGAAAAATAACTCTCTAAGTGGAGTTAAACTAGTATCATTTTCCATGCTCTAAGCTAACCAATGAGACTTGGCAAAATTACACAAGGTAGCATTCATGGAAAGAAGAGTCTAGCTACAAGTGCGTGATGATTTTTAAATACTCAAGTATCATTTTTTTTGTGAGCCCAAAATGACAATTAAGATTGATCTTTCTTTAGTTTTTAATATTGATGTTTAGGCTGATAAAAAGATGTTTAAAGTGATTGTTAAAGAGATGATGCAATTGCCAATGAAAGGTAGCTTCTTGCATGAGCAATGGCCAAAAGGATAGGAACAACAACAATGATTGATGTAACCTTAGAATTATAAAGATATGGAAATAATGTCAATAAAAAAAATCTTTATATGACATTTTTGTATATTAGAAGGATGTGATTGATAAAGAACATATGTCACATAGAAGAAATTAAGTTTGAATAATTTGGATATAGAGTGTAGGAAGGCTTGGTAAAAAAATAGACTAATGTAAGAATGCATTAGTATCACGGATACAGAAATACATGCTCGAGATCTAACAAGAGGTTCAAGAAGAATTGGCAAGAACTAGATTAATCAGATGAATACAAGAACAACACCAAAGAGGTGAGCTAGAACTCCAAAAGATGTGTTGTCGAGACTGAAGAACTCTTCAGCCTCGATTCTAATATATACTTCTATTTAAGAAGCTTCTCAAGCAACTTCTACCAACTAGGAAGCTTCTAGAAGGTTCCAGAGACTTATTTCTAGAAGATTCTAGAAACTTGTCTCTAGAAGGTTCTAAAGACTATGTCCCTAACATCACCCCCTACTTTAGCTTTGAGGTCTCTGAGAAGCAATATTGTTGTTAATCAATACCAACGTAAGAAAATAAAGATCTGTCGCATAACGTCTGCTATGAACTCCAACTGTTGTTCACGAGGCAAGTGGTTCATCGACCCTTGAAGTCAATGGTAGTGGCCCACGCCTTCGACTTCTGACCAAGCATGAACTTCCATGATCTCATTGTGAAATTGTCTTGTAAACACGCCTTCTAACTGACCATCATAAGCAGGCTTGATTTCAAATACAATTACCAGTGATCGATTACTTGGTATCCTCCGTCATCATCATGGTGTAGGTAGTTCTTCATCTCGGGGTCGCCTTCGTGAGTTAGTCGGTTGAGATAATCTGACAAGCATAGTATCTATCTCTTGGCTATCCATATCAAAAGACCAAACTATGGCTACTAAAAAAATTCTACTTTATCTTAGAGAAAATAACTACATCAACTACGAATTTTGATGGTGATCTCCCCTTTTCTTATATTCTTGGGTGAGCAAGCTTTAAAAGGAAGCTATCGTCGAATCAGCTTAGGTTTATGAAGATGTTGTTGATAAAACTCCTGTACCTTTTGCAGCGCATTAATGAGATTTTTAGCTGGCTCCCACGTTCGCTCATTAATGTCATAGCCGCACCAATGAACAAGATACTTCAACTTACTCCACCTTCATTGTGAATCCAGTACCTTTTTGACCTCGTATTCCTCATGGTTCTCGATCTCAATACTAGGTGGCGGACATTGCACTCTTCTAGCAAAAGATGACTCTTGATTAGACTCCAACAGAGAAACATGAAAGACTGGATGTACCTTCATAAAAGCCGGTAATTCCAGATGGTATGCCACTGAATTGATTTGCTTCTGGATGATAAATGGTCCCAATCTTTGATAGTCCAACTTATCACATGGTCGCTTGGTCTTGATATTCCGTCGAAGAAGCCATGCTTTATCTCCAATTTTGAAAGTAGGTGCTTGATTCCAAAATCTATCTGCAGACGCCTTCTAGGATTCTTGAGCGGATTGTAATTGAAGCTTCAATGTAGTTTGAAGCTCTGATAGTTGCTTCACAAATCCTTCAGTTGTTGGATTGTTATTTGTTGACGGACTCAATAAATCAAGCTTCGGATGATACCCATAGTTGGAAAAGAATGGTGTGTATTGAGTCGATGCATGGAGGGTGTTGTTATATGTAAACTTGGCTAGTGACAGATATGCGATCCAATGGTCTTGCTGATAGTTGATGCTACATTGTAAGTATTGTTCCAAGACTTGGTTCACCCGTTCCGTTTTGCTGTCAATTTGAGAATGAAAAGTCGAAGAAAGCTTGATATCCACCTTCAGTATCTCAAAGAGAGATCTCCAAAACTTTGATACGAACCGGGTTCCTCGATCTGATATGATATCATCTAG